ACAACACACAAACTGTATTCATTTAAGAACTGCTTGGCCCATGAACTCTAGCCCTTACAGGCTAATTCTCGCACCTGGACTAGCCCATTTCTAATGATGTGTGTAAGCACCCCAAGGTGCGCTTACCGGGAAGATTCTAGCCTAAGTCCATCGTGGGTTGCAGCTGCCTGGGAGAGCAGAGCATGGTGGCTGTCCGGTCCCTCTGGAAGCAGCGCAGAGTCTGACCTCACTTCCTCTTCCGCCCAGAATTCTATTCTGTTTTTTCCTCCCATCTATGTTCTAACCTATGAGGCCAAGCAGTGTGTTTATTACTTAACCAATGAAATCAACAGATTGATATGACACTCCCACATCAGTGGAGAAAGGAGTAGGGAGGAGCTTCCATGATAAGAAAATGGATTGAACTGATCAAGAAGCAAAATAACTGTGAGAAGCTTGAAGTAGAGATGTGGTTCGTGAAGAATGGAGCTGATGGTCAGCTGTGTGCTCGCCCTGCATTCACGTGGAGCAGCAGAGTGCTGCAGTTGAGTTAGGGTTATGCTGGGCAAGTAGAGGATAGTCCTGGAGGAAGCCATAAAGAATATTGACTACTAAAGAAGTTTGACAAAAGCCGGGTGGTGGTGGTGGTGCACGCCTTTAATCCCAGCACTCGGGAGGCAGAGGCAGGCGGATCTCTGTGAGCTTGAGGCCAGCCTGGTCTACAAGAGTTAGTTCCAGTTCCGGGACAGGCACCAAAGCTACAGGGAAACCCTGTCTCGAAAAACCAAAAAAAAAGAAGAAGGAGGAGGAGGAGGAGGAGGAGGAGGAGGAGGAGGAGGAGGAGGAGGAGGAGGAAAGGAAGGAAGGAAGGAAGGAAGGAAGGAAGGAAGGAAGGAAGGAAGGAAGGAAGGAAGGAAGAAAGAAGAAGAATCCTAAACAGGATAGTAATAAAGGAAGTCAAGTAAGAAAGGAGAGGAACGTTTAAAAGTCAAGAAAAAGCTGCCAGTGATGTTAGAAAGCATACATGGTGGGGACAGAGTGGGTGGTTTGAAAAATAAACATTTAGGAATCTTCAAAATAGCTCTAGGGGTATGGCTCAGTGGTAGAGCTCCTGGCTGATGCGTGAGGCACTGTGTTTGATCCCCAGGTCTACAAAACAAATACATGTATACACATTACTGTACTCTGGTAAATATTAATCAGTAGCTGTTTGTGTCAAGGTCTGTTCATCCCTCAGTATGTCATTGTATAGTTGGCAGCACAGATACTGAATTACCCAGTGATCTTTACACTCTAGTATCCCTATTGCAGCAGTTCTCAACCTGCGGGTTGTGCAAAGGTCGCATATCAGATATTTACATTATGATTCATAAATAGAAAAATTACAGTTAGGAAGTAGAAACAAAACAACTCTATGGTTGGGGTCACCACAGCATGAGGAACTGTATTAAAGGTATAGAATGAGGAAGGTTGAGAACCTCTTCCTGTTGGATCCCTCCCAATCATAGCACCAGAATAACCTATGTGCTTCAGAGGTAACAGTCTCCTACGATTTCCATATTGGGAGTTTGTAGGAATGTGTGTGCTCTGAGTCAGCAGACTCGGCTTTCCTGTACTTGTGACCAGAAGGATGCAGGGAAAGATAAATTCTGGCACTCATGCTATCTTCATTTTCATTATCTCCTCAAGGATTGCAGAGTCAGGTGCCTCAACTAATAAAAGAGTATAGTCATCACAGACAGAAAACAATTGAGGAGGAATTTAGCAGGGATTTTCTTTGCTTGTTTTTATTTCTGTTGAGATCTGTATTTCTGAGAAAGAAGGAAAGATTCACCTTACTTCACTGCCAATGTTAATAAAACTGTGTAAAGAACAATTTAAGATACTCCATTTCACACCATATAGGATCTATCAGAATTTATAACATAGCCAACAAAAGGTAGAATGTTCTTGAGATAAAATTTACTATGCTTTGGAAAGAAAAGTAAAGTATAAGTTATGCTTATTCTGAATATTTAAACTGAGCTAGATTGTCAATATCACACTTGCCTCAAGGATGTTCTGACTATAAATTACAAGACACATTGTTGTAAGATATAAATATATCCCCATGGAAGAGTGATAGCCCAGGCTCTTTGGGAAATACAGTTCTCAGAATGCCGTTACCGAACAGCCTCTAAAGGTAAATTTTTAAAAACATTTTCCTGTTTGTGCTGGGCGTAGCTTAGTGATTGAGAATACTGACTACTCTTCCAGAGGACTCAAGTCCGATTGCCAGCACCATATGGCGGCTCACAGCTGTCTGAACTCATCCTTATGGTGCACAGACATAAGCAGGCAGAACACCAATACACATAAGAATAAATAAATAAACAAACAAATAAATAAATAAATAATTGTCTCTGTATTGTGCAGCTTTGAAACTGCCACTTAGCAGCATTCAGTTTCCCATCAAAGTAACAGGCACTCAGCTGTTTTCCAGAGGGTGCCCTTGGATGTGGGTCTCTCTAGAAGCACTTTCTGAGGCAGCTAGGAGGCACTGCAGGGGTCTCTGTTGTCTTGTACTGTACTTGTACTGCGTCTGGAGCCACTGTTTTTACACTTCTCAACTGTGTTTACTTAAGTCAGTGTTACAGAGAAAGATGATGGAATTTTCCTTTTCAAAAATTGTCTATGCTTAAAGGACATTTTCCTGTGTTTAAAGACAAGAAAAGTCTCCTTTGGCACCAAGCCCAGGACAGTCTAGAGGTTGCTCCTCCCCCCACCCCCTCTCTATTCCTTTGAAATATAGAAAAACACTATTTTCCCCTTTTTTTAAGGCTGCCAAGGGATGAAATGCTTTGATCCTCAGACTAACATTAGAGCACTTCTTCCAGGAGCAAGACATGACAAACAGAATTTATTCTCCCTTCATGTAACACTGAATAGTCTTCAGAAAGAGGTATCCGTAGACGGACTACATGTCCTCACTCTGAGAAAACACAACTACTTCAAAATCAAGGAAATAGCTGAGTGAGGAGAGCTGGTGAGGACAGGAAGTCAGCACCCAGCCTTTGAATATTTTTACCTGGGCGGCTTTGAAGTGATATGATATGTAAGATTTGTTTCAAAATAATCTACTGAGAGGTAGAGATTCAAAGACAAAATAAGACTCACAAGTTGATAATTATTAGGCCTGAGTTCTGTTATATTATTATCTAATATAATAATCTATAACTAAGTATCTGTGATTATAGATATAATATATAATAATATATAACTAAGTCTGTGTGATTTTATCTGTTGTTGAGTTCTTCATGATAAAGTGTGTTCAGTTGTAAGTTGTGCATTTTGCTAGTATACCAAGCTCCTGACCAAGAGACAAATTGTTAACTCCTCCAACAGCCATTCTTGTTAAAGTCAGACTTCTGCGTTTACTGATGCTCCTCATTGCATTAACCTAAAACCCATCACTACTCCAACAAGAAAGTTTATTTAGTGACCAGATACGGAGCTAGCCCTAAAGCTACCTGGATTTGGAGCTCAGACCAGTACCCGTTTTTTAAGCCTTCCAGTTAACTATGGGCTCTCAGGCTCTGGGCGCTGTCTTGTCTTTGCCCATGGCCTCCTAGTCCTAATTATAACTCTCACATCATCAAGTGCACACAAAAGAAGTCAGTGCTCCGGCATTCTTGGTAGAACTCATGCAGAACCGCTCATAGTGGCCTAGCTTCAGTCATGAATTACCCTGAACCAGTCCCTAAAGCAGCCTGTTCACCAGCTTGGGCCCCAAGCCACTTGCTATCTTGGCTGGCCACTGTTTTGTCAGTGTGACACAAGGTAGTGTCATTCAGGAAGAGGTGATCTTTATTGAGAAAATGCTTCTCTAGGCAAGTCTGTAGGGTGCTTTCTTTATTGGTGGTTGATATGGGAAGACCCAGATCACTGTAAGTGGTGTAAGAAAACAGGCTGAGCAAACCAGCAAGCAGCACTTGTTCATGGCTTCTACTTCGGTTCCTGCCTCCAGGTTCCTGTCTCTACTTCCTACCCTGACTTTCTTGTATATGGACTGTTTTATAGAACTATAAACAGAAGTAAGCCCTTCTTCTTCCCCCAGGTTGCTTTTGGTCATGGTGTTTTATAACAGCAACAGAAATCAAACTCAGATACAATGCCTCCTTCAGTATCATGGAAATGGAAGGAAAAGCAAGGCGTCCCACCCAAACTGCATGTTTAAGAATGAAAAAGAATGGTTTCTCAAGGGGAAATGAAGTTACTACAACAAAGATTGGATTGTTAACATTTTAAGTTATGCAGTTGACTTTCTCTATAACCAAAGCTGAGCTACTATAGTTGTAAATTTCCGTCAATCAAGTAAGGTATTACAAATAGGAAAAACTAAGTCTAAGTTACATAACCTACAGATGAGATGCTAGTGAACTCCTGTTACTTGCTAAACAGCAGCTGTCAGTATTGTTCAGTGAAGCCAAACTCATAAGGAAATTTGCAGGTTGGTAAGACCTCTGTAAGCCAGACACCCAAGAGCCAAGAGTGGGATTCAGTCTCAGCCCAAAGTCTTGAAAACCAGGAGAGCCAGGAGTAAAAGTAGAGGGATAGAGGATGCAGCAGGTAAGGAAGGGGAGGGCAGGCCTGAATTCTTTCCTTGGCATCTTGCTGACAGACTAGATGATGCTCACATGTTGAGAGGTCAGTCTCCTCTACTGAGTCTACCAGTCCATAGACTGATTTCAGCTGGAGAACCCTCATAGATATACCCAGGAAAATGGCCAATCCTTGCCCAATCTAACTGACACATAAGATTCACTATCATGACCTCCTTGCTGGAGGTAAAACTTGATGAAGAATGGTGTCTTTTTTAAAATGTGGCTGTATTTCAACTCTTATTATACAGTGGATTCCACTATACCAAAGATGTAGAATAAAATGTCAAATTGTACAGAGGTGAAGTTTCAATATTAGTTATTTCCATGGTTCTCATCTAAAATTTATCTCCTGATTTATTTTTATGTTTTCTCTTTCAGGGCTAATTTCGTATACCGAGTATCTTTTCTTACTTACAATCCTCACGAGTAAGTGTACTGCTTCTCTTTACAACAGTTATGTGGAGTTCTCATTCTTAACAAGCAGGACTTGAAATTTGATGTTTCTGTGTTTATCACTAAAAGCATTGGGAATAGAGCTGGTGAGATATCTCCGTGAGTTAGAGTGTTTACTGTACAAACATGACAACCTGAGTTCAGACCCCAGCATTCAGAAAAAAACAGGCATGAGGGTCTGCACCTGTAGTTCAGTACTGGGGGTGGGGCTCACTGGCTACCCAGTCTAGTAGAATAGCGGGAAAAGCTCCAGATTCAGTGAGAGCCATACGGTGGAGAGCAATAACCCAAGCTCTCCACATCAGCCTCTGGCTTCCACAGGTACGTGCACAGGTGGACGCACACGCACACACACAAATCTTAATCTCTCCATCTGCAAAATAATGTTAATTTAGAGTGTGCTCTTCTACCCACACACTATGGCACCCTGTAACTTTGTTTCTGAGACAGAGCATTTGCTGACCAGAAAAACAGGAAAATCATAGTTAGTGTTTTCTGAGGAAGAAAAATCATAGTGTTATCCAAGAGAAGGAAAAAAGAGAGAAATCATGGTTAGCCTTCTAAGAGGGGGGGGGAGGGAGAGGGAGTTCTCACAATGTGACCCAGACTGGCCTGAAACTCTCTTAAACTCACAGAGACCCTTCTGCCTCTGCCTCAAGGATTAAAGGCATGGGACACCATGTTTGGCCTCTTAGGGATATTAAAAAAAAAAAAAAACTGAACAAGATTCTTGCCCTTCAAAGTATCCCAGTAGTGGAAACAGAAAAGATTAAGGAATTCTCATATGTGGATGAGACTAAGCAGACATGACAACTAAATGCAAAATACCTTACGTTGATTCTAAAGCAAACACAGCATAAATGAAAATTACAAACTCTGCTGCTCATGGTTCATATGCTGTAGCAATGTTAATATCTTAATCTTGATTAGTGTGTTTTGGAATTGTAAAATGTTAACGCTAGAGGAAACTGGCTGAAGGGTATGCGGGCATACATTTTATAGTTGTCAAGAATGGCAAGATAAAAGGTTTTTAAAAACTAAAACAGAAAAGTAAAAAAGAATAGCAATAATATGGAAATAGCAGGAGTGCTGTGAGAATACCAGAAAGCCGGAGGTAGGGTCAAATTCTCACGGTAATTTGCTGTGCAGGGTGTGCAGCCCAGCCACAGCTCCATGGGCGATGTTGAGAGGCCAGAGCTTCAACATCAAGTACTGTTTGAAAGAGAACTTTCCTAGCTGGGTAGTGGTAAAGCACACTTTAATCCTAGCACTTGAAAGCAGAGGCAGGTGGATCTCTGAGTTCAAGACAAGCCTGGTCTACAGAGTAAGTTCCAGCACAGCCAAGGCTACACAAACAAACCCTGTCTCAAAAAAGAAAGAGAAAGTAAGGAATAAAAAAGAAAGAAAAAGTAATAAGAAAGAAAGAAAATATGAACAAGATCCTTCTTTCCTCTGGCTTTTGCTTATATACTTTTTGGTCATTTATTTCAAATTGGAAGGTTTTTGTAGCTACAAATACTTAGTATTTTGCCAGCAACAAAATAATTGTTCTTTGTTCACCTCCTTGCAGAACCTCACACTGGATTCCATGTCGCTTTTAAAATGCTAGATGCAGATGGTAATGAGATGATTGAAAGAAAGGAGTTTGTTAAGGTGAGCACATGCTTGTATTGGGGTTATCGTAACACCTGGTGCTTGTGCGGTGATTGACATTTCCTTAAACATCAAAGCAGTGCTCACTGTTTACATTTGAAGGGTCACACCATTTGCACGGTCAGACCTAGTTCCTAATGGCAGAGAACCCGGGTTCCATTCCCTCTTCTGGCCTCTGCAGGAACCACACACACACATAGAGCACAAATTTACATGCGGGCAAAGCACTCATATATATAAAATAAAAATAAATGTAAAAACTTCTGAAATACAGTCTTGGGGAAATGACAAGCGCCTAGAGCATAAGATCCTAGGAAGATGCGCTTCTGGCAGCTGCATCATACAGCTTTAAAGAATGCATGTTAAAGATGTGTTTTAAATCACTCTCGTATCAAAAACAAGTAATAGAAAGGTAAGCCAAAAAATATAAATTAGTGCAAATGTTTTAGGAACTAGGTACAGCTAATATTTGAAAAATTGTAAATACAGCTGAGTATTTAATAATATTTTTTCTGAGGACATAGTTCCAAACCTCAAAAAAGTGGTTCTCTAAAAGCTGGTGCTGATATGAAAGAAACATCTCAGAGCAAACCACTGGTTGTACTCTGTAGTTTATGCAGAGGGGGAAATGCATACAAACTTAGTAGATTGTGAGCATCATTGTCAACCAGTGAGGGTATGTTAATGACAAATTATATGTGTACATAAATAACTGATTTGTGGCATTTTGGTTGGTTGGTTGGGTTTGGGGGGTTTGGGTTTTGGTCGGGTGTTTTTGTTTTCCCAAAACAGGGTGTCTCTCTGTGGCTCTAGCTGTCCTGTGTACTACTAGTATTAAAGGTGTGGGCCACTATGCCAGCTATGGGGGTGTGAAACAAATAGCAGTCTCTTTATTATATATGTATATTGCTCATAGAAATAAGATGATGATTGGGCCAAAAAGCAAAACTACCATCTGCTTTCAAAGTTAAATACATGGTTAGTGTATGACTTGAGAATTTTATTCCTAGATTTACAGTCAAAGAAAGGAGAGTATATAAGTGGGTGAGGTGGCTCAACCATGTAATCCCAATATTTGTGAAATTTAGAAGACTTGCCATAAGTTCTAGGCCAACCAAGGCTGTAGAGTGAATTCTAAGCCAGCCTGGGCTACACAGAGAGACTCTGTCTCAAAAACACAGAATAGCTGGCAAGTGACTCTCTATAAGTTGAAGGCCAGTCTTGTGTGTGTACGAAGTTCCAGGCCAGCGAGGCTACATAGTGAGACCCTCACTCAATAAATAAATAAAGATAGAAAACACATGTTCACCCAGGACCTGAATATAAATATGCATAGCAGCTTTACTCAACCCCAGTCTGGGGGCAACCAAAATGTTTGTCAAAAGTGACTAGATGAATAAATGTTATTTATGCAATAGACTTCTACTGCGCAACAAAAAAGAACAAAGTGTGAAGTAAGCAGCAGGAGGGATGAGTCGAAATGAAGGAAAAAGTATGAACTGTAGGATTCTGTGTATATACAGTTCTTCATGTCCATACCCAAGGAAAGCAGACCCTTGGTTGTCTGCAGCCAGAAAGGAGTAAAGGGAGAGAGAAGAGGTGCTGAAATGCTGAATACTTCGTCTTGATCAGTGGTGGTTACAGGGCTATGTAAGGGGTATTTTGTTCTACATAAATTATACTTAGTAAAATTTTTGACCCAGCTCCATACCGTAGCTTTGAAAATGGTAGTTTTTTGTTTTTTGGGGTTTTTTTGTTGTTGTTGTTGTTGTTGTTGTTGTTTTGTACAAGAAACTCTTGCAAAGCCTTGGAACAGAGGAAGAGCAGAAAAAGACCTCAGTAGATAATGAACTGTAAAACAGTGGAGCCCCTCAAAAAGTAGACTCACCAATGCTTAACATCATTAGGAACAATCCAGAGTAATGTGTCCATCTAGGCCTGTGAGGAAGGGCGGGTGGATGATAAGAAATCTGAGTAGGCTGTCGCGTGGCAGGCGGACCCTCGGGACTAAAGTACAGAGACTGTCTTACCTAAAGTGACCAGGAGTGGTAGCTCTGTTTATTTTAAGAGTTAATTTTAGAAATGAAGGCAGTAGGCCAGGGAGATGGTTCGGTGGCTGAGAGTACTTGCTGCACAGCATGAGGGCCTGGATTCAGATCACCATCACCCATATGTGGCCATGCACATCTATAACCCCAGAGTGGGGATGAAGGTGGGTACATCTCGGGAACATGCCGGTCAACCAGGCTAACAGAAACCAGTGAGTTCCAGAGTGAGTAAGAGACTCTTATCTTGAGGGAATAGGACAGAAAGCAATAGAAGAGGGCATCCATCATGGTGCTCTGGCCTCCGCTCAAACACAGGCACTCACACATGCCTGCAAATATACAGCATTTAACATACACATGCCGCAATAAGCACACAAAAATACCTGTATAACAAACACATGATTAAGTTAAATCTCTGCTCTAGAATAAAGGCTTTTTAGTTGAATAGACTAATTTAAATTCCTTGTTACTTTTCTTATCTAGATATAGATGTAATGTATGTAGTCTCTGTGATTCCTAGTGTAGCAAAGAGCACTCATGAAGGTAGGGCAGAAGGATCACGAAGTTCACACCAGCACAGGTTATATGGCAAGTCCCTGTCCAGAAAAAATGTTTTACAGTGACGTGCAGCAAATACGTAAAGGTACTTGGCAAAGCAGTCTAAATAATGACTCCTCATAGGTTTTTATGACTTTTTTCCATCTGTTACAATTCTGTATTAACTAGAAGCAGATTTATCAGCAGTGTGCATTTATCAGAGTGCAGAAGCCTTATAAAAGAGTTCTCCTCAGTCTCATTCCCAGTGATGGCAATAGTTGGATTTCCAAAAGCAACAAGCAGAATCCTGGAGAATCCAGAAAGACTAAGAGGAAGACTAGCAAATCTTGGAAAGAAAAGAGTAGCAGGGGAAATGTTTAATGCCAAACTTTCTAAACGGTTGAATAGATAGGGACTGAGTGGAGACATCTGAAGTTTTGTTCGTCAGCAGGAATTACTACAGAAACATTTCAAAAGAGAGGTTAAGTAGATTGGATAGATAGCTCAGCAGTTGAGAGCATTATTTTTGCTTTTGTGTAGGACCCAGAACCTAATGGCAGCTCAAAACCATCTGTAACTCTAGTTCCAAGGAATCCTATACCCTCTTCTGACATTCACAGGCACTAGGCACACACACGGTACACATACGAACATGCACACAAAACATTCATACACATACAATGTTTAAAGAGACGTAGAGACTGGAGAATAAATAGGAAATGAAAAATTTCTATCAGTAAATTTGGGAAATTATTTTGAGATTTGTGTGTGTGCGTATGTATACATATGTATATGGATGTGTATATATGGAGCACACACATGCCATGGGGCACATGTCATAGGACAGCTAACAGGAGTCAGTTCTCTCCTTCCACTGTGGATCCTGTAGTTCAAATTTAGGTCATGAAGGTTGATACTCTGAGCCACCTCACCGGCACCCTCTTTTGAGGTATATGATCATTTTTAAAGGAACTTAAGTTAAAGCAATGGAAGGAAATGCACTTGCACAGATAGAACCTGAAATATCTTTGCAGTGTCTTAGAAGACACCATTGCTGTCTGGCTACTTCATCTACCTTAGAGGGTAGTGTATATGAAAAGGCCATGAGGTAGAGAATTGATTCTCTCAGATTAACCAACCTGTAGAATTTGCACATGTGTAATTCTCCAAGACCTGGATAAACTTTGTGGTGTTATTCCTGTTAGTCATGAGGTGTATGTCTTTATAGTAGTGGAGTTAGAGGCGATTTTCTTTTGGGGAGGTGGGTTGAGAGGGGTTTCTCTGTGTAACCCTGCCTGTTCTGGAACTCACTCTGTAGATCAGGCTGGGATTGAACTCACAGAGATCCACCTGCCTCTGCCTTCTAAATGCTGGGATTAAAGGCGTGCGCCACCACCACTCAGCTAGACGTAATCTTCTCAGATATACTGAACAAGGCCCCTGCAGGTATCACCGTCACAATTCCAAAGCTCAGAGTTGCACTTCAGTAATGTTTGGGGGTGACCTGAGGCAAAAATCACAAAGTCGTGGTGGCATGGAAGCTTGTCTGAAGTCTTGTCAGCTACAGAAGATGATAAGTACTCAAGATGGCTTCAAGACAGTGGCAACTGATGGCAGAATACCCCAGCCTGCTCTCTGACCTCCACATGCACATGCACCACACATAGAAAGGAAACAGAAAGTGACTATTGGGACACATCACTGATGTTTGAAGGTTAAGGCTTTAAAGCCAACCTTGTATGCCTATAGTGGGCTCTTTGTGCTGGCTATAGAAATGGAACTTGATAGCTAGGGGATTGATACATTTATCAATTTTTGAAGAAATAATTTCAAGGAAGAAAACTACATTTCTATTAATTATTTTAATTGTTTAACTTCCATGGTCCTTAGTTTAATAAACTTAAATGTATATATACATACACATGCATACATATTCATATTCTTGAAAGAGCCAGGTGTGGTGGTACAGTGATAAGATGCACATCTGTAATGTCTTGTGAAAGTGTCCTAATGTGCAGATTGCCTCAGTTTGTAACTTCCGTACTAGTGAGCATTTGTGCTTTGTTAACATCTAGATGAAAAAGCTGTCGGGTAGCATGGTGCCTACTTTTTCAGCCTGAGAACTGGTGAAAGTCGCCATCTACGTTAGTTGCGCTCTGTCAGGTGTGATAAACAGTATGGACAGTGATCAAAGCCAGTAATAGTTGATCTATGTAATCTTTACCTTGATAGATGGTGCGTCTGCTTGTGGGCCGAGTGCCAGGGTTTTAAGCAGCTTCTCTAGACAGTAGATTAATGACCAGTCTGTTCACCGGGGAAACGGCTCCTTAGGTGGTCCTTTCATTCCGAGCTACTCTCATACTGATGGAAAGGACTGTGCTTAGTATAAGAGTGTTAGGAGTTGATCAAACTAAA